TAAGAGAAAAGGATGGGTGCAAATAAAGATAAAAAGTTTAAAAATAAGAAGGAACAACAACAACAAAAAAAAGGCTAGGGTTTAGATGTTAAATCCGCTTTATTAAATGTTAATGAACACATTTTGGGATTTTTTCTTTTAAATGATAAATTGGCTTGCTAAATTACGATATTTACCACTATATTACTAGTGCGCATGCGTACACGTATTTGGCACCACGCCCCAAATACATAGCTACTTCCGGTCTACGTTTCCTTTACATTTGCCTTTTAATTTACTTTTACACACATACTTATAAATTAGTTTTCATATTCATATATGAATATATTTTACGCTGTAATAACGACGGTAGATAGACAGAAACAAGCGGGCTACGAGTCTAATTACCTGCGAGTCGATTTAAAGCCCCTTTTCTTCGCTTCTATTAAATTGTATTAACCAATTGCTCTACGCCCCCTAGCGTTCAGTCTGGGAACCGCACCAGACTGATGACGGTGTAGGATGCATTAAATTCCTCCTCCCCATCATCATTCATCTCTGTAAAGGGTAACTTCGATTAAAGGAAAGGACTTTATCTATTTACTGAAGGTGGGTAAACTTCCGATGTCCTTTTTGTTTCAGGACGCACACACAAAAAAATAACCCAAGCCGGATAAACACATTTTCGAAGCTAAAGTTTAGGCCATCATCAGCTATAATTAGCTTCTAAGTTAGCATCTCTTTTCCTCCAATGTCCGATAACTTAAATTTATTGACAAGAGGTGCGGTTTTACACGTGAGTCTGACAATATAAGTGTATTTTTCTTGCTGTTAAAATAGCTTTGGATTSTTTAAATGTAAGAAGTAATTAGCGTAGCTTCGTTAGCGTTGCTAGCAGCTAAGCTAGTATACTATGCCTATTATCGGACACGTTTGTTTATCTTCGTTTTCGCTACAAACCCGTTTTGAAAGCCTTCAGGCAGCCACTGAATGATGTACTGTCTGTGTGCTATAAACCCACTGTTGCACTTTAGAGCTTCTTGTTCGTTAAATTGTGACTTCAGAGGTCGTGATGTTAAAAACAACGACCGGACACCAGCGCATCACACAGCGGTGATGGGTGGTGTCTTCGCCCGTCATCACCCGCACTGAAGTCAAAACGGCTTCGTTTACCGTCATTTTGTTGAATTAGATTTATGGTCGTGAATTAAAAATAATTCCAGAAAGGTGTGTTTGTTTATCACTTACCTCCAGACCATCAAACTCCTGATGCTTAATGAAAGACCTAGTCAGGTGGGATCCTAAGAAGACTTTTTTTTTCTTGCTTGTGAGGTTCTTTCTTTTCAAATGCCAGAAATAATACAGGTTTAAAATATATTATTATTTTAGCTCTAACTATATGATTTATAGAGAGCCTTTAGTTGAAACCCAAGTAATTAATTGCCTGTTGTGCCTCCAGAAAATAAAACAAAAACAATTTACAGCAGATGACCAGTTTCTGAAACAGCCCATCTCTTTAAAACACAGTGAAGACCAGGACAGGACTTGAGAAATGCATTGTTACCTAATTTATTCAAGTAAAATTGCATCTGTTTTGTGTTGACAAAATTCTTGTTTCTTGAGTTTAGGTGACTTTTTTTGTGTCTTAATTCATAGCTCAGAGTTAACTGACCTAAACAGCACTTTTCTCACTTCATGAAGTTTTTGTTCCTCTTGCAGCGGACGGTGGATCTGCAGCCCTGTATACTAAACAGGAAAACGAACTTTTCATCATGAACTGCGACATAGATGGTACGTCTCATGTCATATGCATGTAAAGTTTTACAGATATTGTTTTAAACACGTTAAAGTAACCCTGGCTGTTTCAGGAGACATGGAGAACCAGGTGGAGATGGAGGAGAAGACCAGGTTGATAAATCAAGTTTTGGAACTTCAGCACACACTAGAAGGTAAGAGAAGCTTTTAAAATAAAATATTCTTTTGAAATTAAAATTTAATTTAGAGAAACTCAATACTAGGATGTAAATCTCCAACCCCCATTCCAACATTTTTTTCTCGACTTTTTGTTGTTTTTTTTTTTGTTGTTTAAAAAAAACCAGATTTTTGTGGATTCATGTTTCTGACAAACGTTTCCTTCTGCTGCTGATCTTTGTCTTTTATTTTTTATTCTCTGCAAATGTCAGCGCCGTCACCCTGTCTTCTGTTTTTTTACTCTTGTGACTTAAATCAGAGGGAGCCTGAGATGTGTTGGAAAGTTTTGGAAAAGATCAGTCAAATGGATTTTTGTTTTAGAAAAAAAGTAGCTTTATTGATCTCACTGTAAATTGAAAGCTGTMTTAGTAGCAGAACACTGATCTGATGATCCTTTTGGACACATTTCACTGGGAGGAGACCCCYGGACAGACCCAGAATGCCTTGCCAAAAAGAGCTGGACATTGTGGCAGGGGAGGTGGACYTCTGGAATAAATAAACTAAAATAGTTGGAAGGAAATGCTACCAGTTTTCTGTGAAAGTTCATATCTGCTTACATTTATTTTTGGATTAATATCTACAAAAAGTAAATGTTGAAGTCACAGGACAGCCCTGTGCTGGTCATCCTTTATATCTCCAGCTGGACTCGACTTGTCAGCAGAAACTAACGATACACGACACAGAGCAGAACCTTAAACATCACCTTACTGCTCAGTACCGCTCAAAAATAAAAGGTTTTAAAATATCAATKGTTTATTCTAAACTCTGWTTTTGTGTTGCAGACTTGTCYGCGCGAGTCGACGCCGTCAAGGAGGAGAACCTAAAGTTAAAGTCCGAGAACCAGGTGCTGGGTCAGTACATAGAGAACCTGATGTCGGCCTCCAGCGTCTTCCAGACCACCGACACTAAAAGCAAACGGAAATGATCGGGTCTCGCAGGGAGGGGAGCCCACCTCAGAAGGGTTTGTTTTCTCGGCAGAACTGAGAGTTTTCTGTAACRTGAGTAGGAACTAAAACATGTAAATATAAAAAAGTTTGTAAATTATTTCACAGCTGTTTTTTTTTTTCTGTTTTAAGAAAATTTTGTTTTCCTGTGGACTTCTCAACATTTCGTTTTTTTTTTTGTCTGTAACACTTATTTTGAGCATAAACCCTGATAACACTGTTCTATTTGAGTTATTTATTCTGTGAAGTATTTTGTGGCTCAGATACTTGGATCTTGTGTGTGTATTCCTACGATTAGAAGCTGATAAACTGAACAGTGTTTAGCAGAATGAGGATGGCTRGTTACTGAAACCTGAAGTGTTTGTAATGCAGGTTTGCAAATCTAATAAAACGTCATTAACTCAATCAGGAACATGTTTTAAACTCAGAATCTTTTGGCGGTAGATATTTATTGTGTAGAGCTCAGTATCTGAGCCCATCTGGTTTCTCAGACTCATAACTGTGATGGAGGAGGAGGAGCAAAACGTCAATGAGGGGAAGGAATGAGATGCTTTCAYTGAGAACAAAAGCAGTAAAAAGGCTCTGAGTGAAATCGATCCAMCCTGATAAACCCATCTTCAGTCTGCAGCAGAGAAAGATCTGCTGCCTCAGATAAAACYCTTTAGAGGGTGTTAGAACCAGAGTTTATCCAAAAAAAGGCCTATTTTGGGGATATGTTGTCATTTATTTTGGTTTTTTTTTTTAATAAGACCTAAGATAGGGCGGTGCTTCATCCATCAGCTTTTCAGATACAGCAACACATAATACAGCCCAGTATGTTCCTGATAAACAGGCTTTGTATCTATTCCCATCATTTATTTAAAGTTACCTTTATTAATGTGKAAACAGCTAAAATAAACAGCCCTAAAATACCCAGAAAGTGTCCTGTTCTCATGAAATGTTTAATTCATTTTGTTTTTTGTATTAAATAATTTTATTTTCAAGAGRAATGTACAATTTGCAAATGTAAACAGGGAGAAGTGCCAACAAAACCTGACCTACAAAAGCTTCAGACAATAACAAAAAAACATTTTCCCACACAAATAAACTAATCTGAGCTCTAAATCTGGAAAAGTCTTCTGGTTGAGGTGTGTGTGTGTGTGTTTGTGTGTGTTTTAATAAAGTCACTTATTACATACTAAACTGATGAGCAAGGCAGTAAAAAGTACCTGCTATTTCTGATAATGTCAGTTTTATTTATTTATTTGAACATTTAACAGACCTCAGCTAAGAAGAATCAGCACATCAGTTAATGTTAAAACTCCTGCCTCAGGTCTGGAAAACAAAAACAAAAGCAATAAATAGGATTATTAGAACTAATTCAACCTGTTTTTACAGTGTAAAAAAGCTGATGAAGGATTACAAACTACCTAAAATCTAAACCATGAATTCCAGGTTCTTCAGATGAATTATTTATTTTTTTAATTTTCACAGCAGTTTTTCCTCGGAGCTCAGCGTTCTCGCCCCGCTCTGGAAACCCGGAACAATTTCACACACGAGAGGAACTGTCAAAACAGTGTCCTCGAGCATGTTCTTCAAAAAAAAAAAGAAAAGAAAAAAGAAGAGGACACAAGAAACAAACACATAGCTCTGTGATATGCAGTGAAATGGTAAGAAGTTGACGGTGGAGAAGAACTGTCGTCGCTGACGGGAGGCAGARGGATGGATCGAAGACAGACGAGGTGGAAAAGAAGGGAGTTTTCAGGCTGACAGGTTTTCTGACAGCTTCTAGAACAGAAGAAAGGTGGAAAATGAAGTGAAAGCTGGAGGGTGGGAGAGCTAAATGCATAAACCTCCGGGGAGCTCGTTTGGAGATGAGCAGACGGGAGGAGAGGACGAACAGGATGTGGTCTGTGAGAGACTGCAAACCTGGGCGGGTGGAGCTGAGACGCTGGAGGAGAACAGGCCTCTTCCTCCCTGATTGAGGGGGAAAGGGGCGGCAACAACAGAGAAGACCCTTCCACTTCCTCTCCYTGGAGGGAGGAGGAGAAAACGGCAGGTGTGGGATTCCCCTCCTCAGTCTTTCCTTACCCTCCTCTTCCTCACGGCATGTTTGTGGCTCTCCTCAGCAGAATCTCCTCCATTCTTCTGCAGAGAAACAGAAGAAAATCTAAATAAATGAGACTAAAACATTAAAGGATCCATGATTAGTTGTAACATTAGACTTTATTAAATAAACATATATTTTAACTGTAAAATAAAGACTAAAAATACTGTAGGATGTTTAGTTTTGTAAATTTTTAAAAATATATTTTAACATGGACGGAGCCGTTTTATTTCCACACAAAGCATTCTGGGTAAATGATGACGTGGATAGGTCCTCGGTGCGAGGCTGCTAGCGAGCTATATCCACCCTGAAGGTTAATCTTGGACAATATCTGATGATCGACTCTTTTAAATGAAACCAGAGAGCGTTGACAGAGAGGAGAAGGTAGAAATGACTCAGCCTGGAACTGAAAATATGGATGGAGGACAACAGAACTGCTTCATGGAAGAACAACCTCAGCTTAGCCTGTTAGCCTTTGTGCTAACACTGATGCTATATTGCCTTATATGTATTAGCTCAGTGCTAGCACGACAAACTAACAAGCTAACCTGTTGTCCTCCATCCATATTTTCAGTTCCAGGCTGAGTCATTTCTACCTTCTCCTCTCTGTCAACGCTCTCTGGTTTCATTTAAAAGAGTCGATCATCAGATATTGTCCAAGATTAACCTTCAGGGTGGATATAGCTCGCTAGCAGCCTCGCACCGAGAAGCTATCCACGTCACCATTTACCCAGAATGCTTTGTGTGGAAATAAAATGGCTCCATCAGTGTTAAAATATATTTTTAAAAATTTACAAAACTAAACATCCTACAGTATTTTTACAGTCTTTATTTTACAGTTAAAATAAATGTTTATCAAATAAAGTCTAATGTTACAACTAATCAGGGATCCCTTTAATATGTTAAAGGAAGCATCTCAAACACCCACCTCATCTTCTAATGTCCTCTCTGGAGCTTTGCTGTCCTCCTCTTCCTCCTCCACCACCTCCTCCTCCACCTCCTCTTCTTCTTCTTCCTCCTCGTCCCCTTCATCTCCTGCTCCACCGTCCTCCAACTCCTCTTCTTCTTTTGCTTTAATAAAAGAAGAAGAGGAAAATAAAAGTGAGGATGAAGCTCAGCTGAGATCCTCCGGCACCAACAGGTGAAGGTCAAACCTGCAGCCGGAGCTTCCTCTGGACCTTCAGCTGCCTTGTCTTCCTCCTCTGCTGCTCCCTCCTCCTCGTCCTCCTCTTCCTCCTCCTCCTCTATATCAGCACGAGGCAGGTCCACCTTTTTGTAGACGTAGTCGTCTGATTTCTGCGGACAGGTGCAGCCGGGTTAAAGAGAACCTCTGAGGGTTTACGATGGGAGCGTTCTGGTGAAACGCTGGGTACCTTGGGCCAGCAGAAGAGCACGGTCAGTCCGACCGGCAGGCCCACGGTCAGGATGTAGATCACCCACAGCCACGGGCGCTCCTCCGCCGCCATCAGCAGCTGAGTGAAAATCCCCGGCTGTGGAGGCGAAGAYATTCTTACCTTCATCACCGCAGCTCTGAGGAAACAACCCTGCATCATTCAGACAGAACACTGACCTCATTAGCGCTGGCCACCAGCTTCTTCAGCCCCCAGCTGTCGGACGCCCAGCGGTCCGCCACCTCCTTGTGAGACGTGATGATGAAGTTGTCGAAGTAGATGTCCGAGGTCATCGACCACAGCTCCAGACCCAGAGCTCTGAACGCCATCATCCTGAACGGCTGCAGGTCCTCGAAATAGTCCGGGTTATTGATCTTCCGTGGCTTCCAGACTCCCTGGAGGAAAGAAAACAAATGACCCAGTTACAGGAACCGGACCTGAGCGTGAGKCGAYCTGCAGAGCAAACACTAAAGATGTTCAGTCTGTCGGGAAACAAACAGGTTTAATGTTAGACGCRTTAAATATAAAGATCCTGCAAAGGCTGACACCACACGTCATTAAAGCAGGGTTCGACAAATCCCACTGCCCGGGGCAGGTAAAACCCATACTGGGGCAGGTGGGTGTGTCCCGATGCCTGCCCAACCGGGCAGGTAAACCATTTCTTTAGATTTTCATAGAGCCATTTATTCAAAACATTCTGAAAACAAATGAAGAAATGTAGCATTTTAAAACACGAACAGTATAGAAAGAATAAATCCTCTAAATTTCCTCCTCCTGCTGTAGAAAAGTTACATCGTGCCGTCGTGTGTCTGCGCAGCAGCACAGGGTCAGTTCAACAGGCAGAAGCAATATTTTGTTTTATTTACATTTTTTAATTTAGAGACTTTTCCATCTTGAGCTTGTTTGTTGAAGATGATTGTTGAAAATAAGTGGCACTCATAARGAGTTTTTTCACTCTGCACCCTTTTAATTCAGGGTATGATTTACTTTGTTTTTTAATGGTGTACATATTGTTTTGTTTTTATGAATGTAAGAAACAAACAAATAAATAGACATCTCTAATTATATTCTGACTAGTATAAATAACATTAGATTTATCAAGTTGTAGGGAGACTCCAGTTCAACATATCTTAAATGTATCTTTAGATATGAGACAGACTATGTACAATAATTTTAATGCAAATTTCAGACTTTTTCATGTTCTGTAAATTGTATTTAAAACAAAGCTGCTGCTGTTGATCATTCTGTTTTTATAAGCCCCGCCCCCCAAGGCCAGTACTCCAGGGAAACACTGGAAAGGTCTAAAAAAGTTTATTAAAGAAGTTCTGAGTGACTCAGTCTGGAATGTTTGCATCTGTTTAATCAGATGTCATATATTATGTACCTCTGTGTGTAACCGTGTTAATATTTTTGTAGTACAAAGTACAATACATGGTTTTCTTATTTTATCAAATTTTGAACATTTTTGTTTTGGGCAGGTAACATTTATTGTCACCTGCCCGACAAGGCAGGTAAAAAAATATATATATTGTCGAACCCTGAATTAAAAACCTTAACATCATCTAAAAAACTTTGAATATAAAGTGAGCAAATATTAAAAAGCTGTTACCTGATAGTTGGGGTTGTCTATCAGAGGGGCTTTCCACTTGCCCTTGTACTGAGGGTTGTTGATCATGGGGCGCTTCCAGTCCCCGCAGCCAGGAGCCGTCTCACAGGCCAGGTTAGGAACCTGCGGGGCCTCCCACTCTCCATCCATCTCCTCGTCCCTGCACACGGACAGCCACGCTCGGTTGTAATGAAAAGAAAAGAAAAACAGCTGACAGGCTGGGTTAGTCTGAGCACCGACCAGTCTTCTGGTTTTTCAGCGTTTGGGTCGGGGACGAACTCTGGTTCATCGTCCAGCCAGCCCTCTGGCTTCACCGCGTCAGGATCCTCCACCTTTGCAGGTGCATCCTCATCCCTGACACACAAACCCAAAACGAATATCAGCAAAAACTGGAGGAAGTGCTGACTCGGCATGCACAAAATAAAACTGCAGTGAAGCAGAGGATGTGGCTGATCTCTTCACCAGTCAGCAGGTTTAACAGCCTCCGGGTCGGGAATCTTGGCCCTCTCGTCCCAGTCGTCGGGCTTGGCGTCGTTCGGGTCGTCAATCTCCTTGGGCGGGTTGACGGGAGGCACCACGTCGTGCAGCAGGCTGCCGCGGCTGACGCTGGACTGGTCGATGAACATCTCGTAGCTGTTGTCTGGGTTCAGGACTGACAGCAGACAGACGTGYGGACAGAGCAGCCGACTCCCCTCATGCAGAGGCTAATGCTCGCTTCCTGTCAGCTACATACCCAGCGTGTAGAGGTGGGTCTTCTTGTCTGTGTAGAACTTCTTCAGGTCCACGTCGGCCCTCTTGGCGTGCTTCTCCTCCATGTCTTTGTTCAGAGGGTTCTTGTGGCGGAAGATGAAGTGCAGCTTGTAGTCCTCGCCGCACTTGTCCGGTCCGAACATGATGGTGTAAGGTGTGCGATCGTGGAACTGCTCCTGAAAGGGAGGACAGGGAGAGCTGGAAGAACCGCTGAGGATTTCTGGATGGTTTAACTGTGGGGCTCCCCTACACCAGTGGTTCCCAAAATTTTTGTCTTCTGACCCACAAAATATCCATGGCAAAAACTTGTGACCCCAAATATTACTGGTCTGAGTACACAAGCTTTGTTAAAAACCCTAAAAACACAGGCTTTTTGACAATCTAAGCAGCTTGTACACAGATATAAATACTTATTTATATTTATTTAGTGTTTTTGTAATAATTATAGGGAAAATATTACATCAGTAATTATTTTATTGCCCTTTAAATTGATTTCTGATGATTATTCAAGGTGCTTCATGACCCATAATTGGGTCCCAAGCCCAACTTTGGGAACCATAATGAAAACCTGGATTCAACTAAATTAAACATTTAAACCAACCAGATTGAGATTTCCGTCGTCTGAGAGCAGTTTGATGTAAGCTCCGCCACAGTCGATACCGTCCTGGAAATTCACCTCGTACCTGCGATCAGAACAGGAAACAGTTTGACCCGGTCTGCGTCGTGTTTCCTCCATTAGTAGGGACGGTCCACGACTCACTGAACAACCAGAGGTTTCTCCTTGAAGACAAAAGGTTTGTCCAGCATGGCGGCCACGGCGTGATGCTTGGCCCGGGACTTCAGCACCAGACCCTGGTCTCCCGGAACCTTGTTCTCCTTCAGCGGCTCCACGGCCCACTTTCCTGCAGACGAACAGACTTTTCTATTCAAACCGTTTATTGTTGAAAACTGACAGAGTTACAGCTGTTTTGARCAAATCTTTAAATAAATTTTACARTCGACCACAAACAGTTTTGTGACATCTTAGCAATGTGTTAAAATAAACAGAATCAAATCTACAAAGCAGAAATGTAAGGTGTACCACAAGGATCAATTCTGGGGCCTTTGCTCTTCTGATCTTCCTCAAATCTGCAAAGACAAACTGCCAACTGTACGCAGAGTATTTGTGAGCCATCATATCAAAATGAGGATTAAGTCAATTTTGGTCAAAATTATCAAATCACATTTTCAGATTCCTGTTTTAAAAGCTACATTTTGACACCTGGACCACTCTGATATCATAAACAGAACCAGAGATATGCCTTAATTTGTCTTGTTGGTTACGATAATTAATATTTGGTCTGAATCCTAATTTTATGTAATTTTATGAGGAATTTTTCATTTCATTATGAAAAGGAAACCTCAAATAGTATTTGACTATTGAGAATTACCAGCTGGAGAGAAACAAAAGCTTTGATAGCTCACAGGCAAAATCTCTAAATTAAAAGGCGTTTTTCCTCAAAATCAGTTTTTTTTTGTTGCTACTGCTCAAAAATGTCCTGATGCATCTCAGTAATCCAGGTAAAAAATCAAAATGAAAAAAATTGTATAGGTCTTATGGACGGGTTCTTCTCTAATTATCAGTCACATGGAGGCAGGGCTTAAAAGCCTGAATTTAGCCTGAAACTCTCAGACTGAAGAAGTCTCTTGGAGGAGAGACGAAACGTTTCATTAGAGAAGAACCCGTCCAGAAGACCTATACAATTTTTTTTTCTTTTTGATTTTTTACCTGGATTACTGAGATGCATCATGAGATAATGGTGTGCTTGTGTAACTATGGCAGAGTCAAAGTTTCAGCATTCTTAGAAGTAATAATGAAATGAGAGACAAAAATCCAGTGAAAAATTGTGAAAGGTTCATTCTACAGTCATATGAAAAAGTTTGGGCAGCCTTGTTAATTTTACTGATTTACCTTAAATCATTGATTGTTTGGATTTTAAAAAATCAGTTAAATACTGTATATCATATAGGGGACAAACACAGTGATAT